ATGATAATAATAGTAATATTTACAAAAAGAACATACCTTCTGGCCTTGTTAATTTGTTTGAAATTCAAGAAAACAAAATCAGAAGGAACTACCTTATTTATCAAATATAGCATTCACTAGAAGAGAATAAACTCCATGCAACAAGCTTCACAGTTGACTATATGAGTATCATGAAAGCATAAGGCAATAAATACATGGCATCAGCTTAAGACAAAATGGACACCTACTTTGGATAAAAGTTACTTATCCCACTGCTTGCTGTAAGCATTCTTGCCATACCTACTTGTTAGGGATACACAAGGGATTTTTTTTTTTTTTTTGGCAAAATGGCACATGAAATTTCTCAATTTTCCACCTAAGGAGAAAAGTAGCAGATACTTTGTTAGTTATTTTTCTCATTTCTTACTTTACTTTCCATTACTGTTAGCAGACAAAACCAGAGAAAAAAGAATTAAATTTCTAGTTTTCTCTGGCAACGACCATCACCAGCATCATCCTTGAGCCATCAAGTTTTCTATTTCCCTATCATATGTCTCCCTCCCTCTAGCCGCTCCCTCCACCACCCCCCTAGTCCCGCTTCTCTCTCTTTCCTAGGTAAGATTGTAGTTTAATGGGTTCTTTTGATGGTGTCTATTTCCCTATCATGTCTTCCTCCCTCTAGCCGCTCCCTCCACCCACATCTCTAGTCCCTCTTCTCTCTCTTTCCAAGGTAAGATTGTAGTTTAATGGGTTCTTTTGATGGTGTTATCAATGAAGAGCAGACCTAGTATGTAGGCATTGTAAGTTAAAAGCTGCATTCCCAGAAGTGCCAGTACTTGTAGCAATGATAAATTAGGATGCAGGATAACGGCAGTTTCATAACTTCCAGGTTGAGAGCATTATCAATAAGAGACTTAGTCAAATTAATTTAATTCAGTACTTTTCAAAAGAGAAACCTGGATGAAGTAAATGGAATTTATTTCTCCACAATCCAGATTTTCATTGAAGGCATGAGCAGTGTATAAGTTATACATATGTGAATAAAGTAGATAACTACCAAAAGACAGAAGTGCATATCTCCATAAACAAGACTACTGAAATTACTTCTTTATCAAAATTCAGTTTCAGAAGTAGGAGTATAAAAGGGTTTTTTTTTTTTTTTGTTGGGCCATAACAAAAAGGTGCTGAATCAAAAGAGGTTTACAAAATCTTCAAGGTTGATACAAAGATTAAGAATAAGCAACACTATACTAAAGATGGAAGTGTCAAAAAAAAGCCTAAAACAAGAGCCTAACTAAATTCAGGAAGTTATCTCATTTGCCTCTATTAGGACAATAGTCACCCCCATCGTTTAATTAAATTTCAGAGTAAGATGATGACTATGGTGAGAAACAAAGTTCAAATAAGATGCTTGACCACAGAATGAAACTTTAGGGACTATTAGCTAGTATTCTTCATTAAAAACAACCATTCCATTCACAAAGCATAATTTTATTAACAATATAATACTTCCAAATATCCACATCAAATACTAGAGAACCATGGTTGTGGATCATGAAATGAATTCAAAGAAATACGTCATACTTACACGAATTTGGAACAGATACTCATGGGGATAAACTGTCAAAACGAGGGAATCTTCAAAATGGAACTTTACGACTGGAAATGCATCATCAACACTGCAAGAACACAGGAAAGGAAAT